ACGGTAATACGTCTGCTCCGATGCCCGCCGCCCGGAAGGCCACCACGGTGGTTGTTTTCCTTCATGGATTGGGAGATACTGGGCATGTATGGACAGAAGCCTTTGCAGTTAGCAAAAGTTCACACATCAAATATATCTGCCCGCATGGGCCAGTTATGCCTGTAGCACTGAATATGAACATGGCTACGCCTTCTTGATTTGATATCATTGGGCTTTCATCAGATTCTCAAGGGGATGAACCTGGGATTAAACGGGCAGCAGAAAATGTAGAGCTTTAATAGGGCAAGAGGAGAAGAAAAGCATTCCTTCTAACAGAATTATTTGGGGAGGATTTTCTCAGGGAGGAGCTTTGTCTTCATACACTGCTCTAACCACACAGCAGAAACTGGCCGGTGCCACTGCACTTGGTTGCCGGCTTCCAGTTCGGGCTTCATTTCCACCGGGTCCTATCAGTGGTGCTAACAAAGATATTTCTATTCTCCAGGACCATGGAGACTGCGAACCTTTAGTTCCTCTTTGGTTCCCTTACTGTTGAAAAACTAAAATCGTTGGTAAAACCAGCCAATGTATCCTTCAAAACCTATGAGGGCAGGATGCATAGTTCATGTCAACAGGAAGTGAAGGAGGTCAAGCAATTCACTGATCAACTCCTACCTCCAATTGATTGATGTCGCCAAGAGGCCTTGTGTAGAAGGACACCAGCAGTATTGTAGTACAGTATAAACTTCTTTCCACGCCCAATCTTAAAACTTCTGTTTGCAGTGTTAAAATGTTTTGCAAATACACATCAATGATATATAGCAAATAACATTTCCTTGTGGGAAAAATGATCTGTTAAATTTCTAAACATGCATTTGTAGATGTGATTCAGAATATACCAGTATTAAAATAGGTGAGGCAGCTAGGTTTTCTTTCTCAGACATAATGCAGCAAAATAATAAAATACTGCAACAAAATTTTTTTATTATATCATTTGAAAATTACCAGTATGCTAATGATAATTTGTTCAGGTAAAACAAACGTTATAGGTATAAATGATCTATGCATGCTGTGACTTACTTATGGATTTATTCCAAAATTGCTTAGTCACCACGCAAATCTGTATTTTTCTATGTATGTTCATTATATATAATGACTGTAATACATAAGAATTAGATGTTATTACATTATTCTTGATAATAAGGATAATGCTTTTGTCAGTAAAGAGTAATATTGCTCTCTTCATTTAATGGCTCCTTTATTTGGGGGACCAGGTTTTTCTTTTCCTTGATAGCATTTCTATTTAGTATTTCTCAAGAAAAAAATGTTTTCTTTCATGATTATCCTTTATAACAGACCAAATATATTGCCTCCCTGCCATTTGCTGTTGATACATGCTGTAATTTGACATTCTAAATTACAGACACATGGTATTTGAAATCTATATAACTTTAAAAAGAAACCAAGCACACTTAAACTTCTTATATTATGTACTTCAAATAACTGTACTTTAGTTCAAATTTAGACTTATTTAGTTATTTAGAATCTTCAATTCAGACAATAAAATATTATTTTTCTGTAAGCAGTTGAATAAATTAGATCATACTGTGGTATGTACAAAAATATTTAAGACTGATCTTAAAAACTAATTTTTATTGAATCCTTGCTGCATTAAGTTTCTGTACATATGTCTGAAACCAACTACTGTAGAAAACAATCTATTAGAAAAATTTGCTTTATCTGCCAATGGTCTTATTTGAAATTTTTACTTCAAATTATTTTTAAAAATTAGTCTCATGCAAACATAAAAACAGAAATCGTTTTATTTTAAATAGTCAAAATTTCCAGATTAATAGTAAAAAATTATTTGAAACAAATTTGGGGGTAATAAAGGCTAATCAGAACTCTATAAATATGGTATAGTTACTATACAGTTGAAAATTGTAGCAAAATATATGCTTAATATTTCTGAACTATGTTAATTTTCTGCTGTATTTCATCTTACCAAAACAATGTTAAGAATGCATCTTTACAGTGCTAATTGGTCATGGAAATAATGTGGTAATGGACAACATACAATGTTTATAATGAAGCCATATGTTTATCTGGATTGTAAAATGTTAAACAATCATTTACTTATGTCACTGCTTTACCTTGAAGAACTGTAAACATATTTCAGCTATATAAATCAGTAACATCTTATTTATAGCAAGAAATATTACATTGAAATGTTGTGCTGTAATGTGAGACAATGTAAATGTTTTTCATGGTTTCTATCAATGTGAAATAAAATATAATTCTGGGGAAAAAAACAAAAGAATGCCCTAACTACAAGCTGGAAAAGCAAAATAGTTATCACTAGGGAAAATGGACAGTACTACAAATAGGGAATGAAGGGGTTTGTTGCATGCAGCTAATGTTTCATTTCTTGATACAGGTAGTAGCTGCATGATGTATTATTCCCTTTGTGATAATTTATTGACTTTTACAAGTTTCACATTTGTCCTGTTTTTGTTTTGCTCAATGAAATTAAATTTATTAAATAAACACTGGGGGGGAGCAGGGGAGATTATACAAGGGCCCCAGGGAAAACTTTGTGTACTGAATATGCTAATTATGTAGACTTGATCCATGGATGTGCACAACAGATTAAAAACCTCGTCCCTTAAATATATGCAGATTATGTCATTATACCTCAATAAAGATGTATAAAAGAAAAGGGTAGGGTGCAAAAGATGAAGTTAAAAGAAATTAACACTTAAATAAGTAAAATAAAACAGACTAAGAATTCATTAGCTAATTATCCATCTCAATAATTCAGAAAAGGCAAATTTTCTAAAAGAGAAAAGGAGTATTTAGATATTGAAAATGAATATACCACAGAGTATCAGCAACACCAAATGTTGATTCTTTTAAAACATTAACGAAATTAAAAATGTTCTGGTAAATTTATAACTTAAATATTATCCATTACTAATTATAACATACATATGTATATACACAGTCACACCTCTTCTTGAGGATACATTCTGGGAAATTAATCTTCAGATGATTTCCTCATTACACTATGCTACTTACACAAATCTGGACAGCACAACCTACATAGACATGTTATGGCTTCCTTTGCAATATGAAGTCCATAAATGGCCAAAATGTCACTCTGCAGAGCATGACTATGTTATAAAGCTACAACAATCAGTGCAGACCTGACAAAGAGCTGGATAATTAAACCTGTGGAACTAGAGACACAATTCTCAAAGAGATTTTTTTATTTGGTACTGGGGATGGAACAAACTCTGGATCTTGTGCTTGCAAGGCCGGTGCAGCACCACTGAGCTAATTCCTCCTTTATTTCCTCAAAGAAATACTTAAATGATACAGACTGTACTGCAGAAAAATGGGAAATGATTCCCTTTCCAATGGAAGCTGTGGGGAAACTGAAGTATCCGTGACAAAAAAAAAGGAGTTATTTCAAAACTGTGGTTTCTGTCCTTATTGAAAGGGCTTAGTCATTCATATATGAGGCATTAGTTTCTCAATTATACACATCATGTGGGCAGATTATAAAATTCACTACAGAGACCATTTTTCCTCAAATTAATCTGTAGTATTTATCACCCCATCAAAATTTCAATATGCTTAATGTTTAATGGAAGGAACCAAACAAAAAATTTTAAAATTCATCTACAAGGTTAAATATAAATGAAACTAGCCAAGAAACTTGTAAATTATAACAGCAACAGAAGTAGCTGCCACTACCAGACTCTAAACTATATCATGAAATGTAACATATGGCAATAATGACCCCCCCAAAAAAAAAATCACTGTAGGAATTAAATCAACGTATTAATCTATATGGATATAAGAAATGATTCTTTTGTTAAGATCAACAAAATGGCAAATAATTACAAAGATCTCAAGAATAACATTAAATGTAAATGGATCAAACAACCTAATCAGAAGGCCAATGTTGGACAGGGTAGTAAATCTCAGAGATAGAGCCCACACAAGAATATGTGAGGGCATGGGTTCAGTCCTCAGCACAGAAAAATAAAAGCAGATGTTAAGGATGATACTGTTAGATAATATTGGAAACATGGCAAAATGAGAGGTTCCTGGCTTTCCCTCCAATATACTGACACTGAATAATCACCTATTCATGGTTCCATTCATTAATGAGTTGAGAAAATTTTAGACACTACTGCTAAAGAACACCCAACATCTAGCATCACAGTGAGGGGAAGATTGAGACCATACACACAGCACATTAATTAACTCTATGGTTCCCTGGAGTTTGACTCTTAACACCTATCCCTAGGAGAGGAAAGGACAAAGGCACACATAAGTCTCAAGACCACAAAACAAAATGGTGGCTTCATGCGGTGATGCAAGTAGTGTCAGACGTCAAGGCTGAGGCCAGGGAAGAAAAGGGATTAAAACTCAAAGGTTCCACTTTCTCCCTGGAAGGGATCTGCCAGCACACTGTGCCAGCTGCTGCTGCCCACAGCTGCACTTCTATCATCCAGGCTGAGTTAGGGAGTTCACGGGAAAAAAAACTGCCCCTTCGCACCAGACTCCAGCGCACCCCAGCGTTAGCTCCAGACTGACCAATTCTCCCCGGCAGGAGTCTGTCCGTGCACTAAGTGTCGCAGTTTTAACAGTTCCCACTCTAGGCACAAGTCCTAAACCCACGCTCTAGAAGCAAGGGAACCGGGCGTGCGGGAATTTCCTAGAGCACAGAACCGGGAGGAGAAGGGCTTCAGGGTCCCGGCTGCCAAGCCAGCCCCGCCCCGGCGCCCGCAGCCGGAGGGGACCTAGAGCCCGGAGTCCGCAAGACACAGCTATCACAACCGGAGAGGAGGTGGGGCCCAGCTGTCCGGGACCTCGGGGGACCTAGGTGTGCAGAGGAAGACGGCGGTCTGCAGACTCCAGAGCCGCCCCCGAGGAAACCCAGTCCTGCCACAGCCGGTTTCCGCGGGCTTCTTCCTTCCTGGTCTCAGGACGTCGAGCCGCTCACTCACCATTTCCGGTTTCCGGGGTTTCGGCGCCCTCCCAGCGATCTTCCACCCCTGCAGGTCACCGGGAGACACGGGAGGCGAAGTAGCGATCTCCTTTTGGCCAGAGAACACCAGATCCCAAGATGGCGGGTATCAACCACAAAGGACCGCCTAATTGTGGAAGTCCCGCCTTTCTGGCTGTGTGTCTGAGTGGACAGTTCTCATTACCCTGTTTTTGATTGGGTAGCTATGTGGACTCCTCCCTCTTGTTCCCTGAATGACAATAGATACTACCAACCCATGGCTGAAGAGGAAAGAATGACAGGGTTTTGGTTGCAGCTTTTTTATGGTTCTCTGGATTGAAATTGGTTTATCTGGCTGAAGCTAATCTAAGGCAAAATATTCTCCATGTGGAGTGAAGTAGTATTACAGTCAGCTAAATTAAATAGAAATTAATGTAAAGTCAGAGAGGAACTGGGCTGTCAAGGAAGTCAGCAGAAAAAATAAAAACATCAGAATTGTTGCTGGAGGTGCAACTGAAAAAGGCCAAGCCTCAAGATAAAGATGCAAAGACTAGGCTTAGGTGCCTCCCTAAGGGAAAGCAATAACTTGGAATTATACTATAACTGGTATCACTTGGTCCAGTTTAGTCCAAATAGACATCAAGTCACTCAGGTGGGTTACCGGACCCATCCTTTCTCTAAAATGTTCTTTGTTCTTTCTTTGTTTTTTCCCCTTGCTACTTACCCTGCTTCCCTATTGAACCAATATTAGCTAAACAGCTATACTTATAATCCTACAGGTTGATTGTAGGTTGACCCATATTGTACCCACGTTGTGACTTTGCTGTATAAATTGCCCCAAGCAAAGGGCCTCGGTGGCAACTCATTTCTGGAACCCCTCCTGCCTCTTAGGAGCTATTCCTAACTCCCAGTAATCCTTTCCTACCTTTTTTTTAAAAACAAAATTCCCATTTTATTTAAACTGAAATAAACTATACAAAATTTTCTTCACCAAAAATAACACCAATATTTTCTCTATTATTTCTAGATAAACCACAAAACATTCATTTTTTTAGGTATTTGGGTTTTGCATATAACTCAAGATGAGGCAGTAGGTAAGAGTCACGGAAAAACACAGAAGGAAACAGACAAGTCAGTTGCCTGTATGGATGGCCTCTCATTCTGCCTTGATGATAAAGCAGAAGTGTTCAACATTTAGCTGCTAAGAATCTTATGAAGAGATAGGCTCCACAAAGGAATGTAAACAGCAATAACCAGATGTGGAATAATGGCAAGCTTTTCCATTCAAGCTTTAACTGTAGCCTCTTCCTTTAAGTTCATTTAATAAAGACAAAATCTACACTGAAGTCTGGTGAGCTCATAAACTTCTCCTTAGAAATTCCCTTAACTGTCCATTAGATTTTTAATAACACACTTAACACTCCTACTAATCACAGGACAATGATGGCCTTCACCATAACATTTTATAAGATGCATTCCTTTCTCCCACACTACATAAAAATTCATTTCTGCAAAAACTGACAACTCAATACTTGAAAGCAGATAAACAATGACAGTGTGTCATCTAAAATGACAATTAAAATAATTCCATAGTGCCACCAGCAGAGGTCATACCAAAGTGAAGTGTGTCACTTACAGTGCTATCTTCTGGAAGAACAGACAGGTCTCAGGTGCATAAGAGTTCAGCAGGGCCATTTAAATATGGAGATTATCAATGGCTAATATATTCAGTGATAGGCCTATAGAAAAACATATTTGAAAGGGAATAGTGATGCTCAACAATCAGGCCACACACACACTGAGAGGTCCAACTGGAGATTTTATTCAAGGGGTGGGAGGAGAGAGATAGAGCAGAGAGAGAGAGAGGAGGAGGAAGAAGCAGAAGGAGAGAAGAACAAAGAAAGGAAGGTCCTTTTATCAGTTTTGGGGTGGGCTATTGCTTATTTATGAGTGAGCTACTTTTAACCTATCACAGGCCAGGTGGCTTTTTATGGGTCCAGCCCTGCAGAAACAGGTTTCAACTTCTCCAGACCGCTGTGGCCTTGGGGGAGGGAAACCAGAGATAAGGGCATGAGGTCATTTTAGGAGTCAAGATGTACCAGGAGAATGCAGCCTGTGAGGCGGCGTCACAGCATACTTTAACATGATCAATGCCCTAACAATATTCAGTGATTAGGTGGCCTACATAAACCCCTTATAGCTTTTCTTTCAAATATCAAATATAAGAAAAAGCCCACTTTAAATGTCTCTTAGGTATTTCCAACAGTTTCTGAATTATCTGTAGGAAGCTCTGATTTAGTTGTATATAGTTCGATATATGTGTCCACCATTAAGACCAGATCAAAATTTATATCAATTGATATTTTATATCAAAATTTATGTTAAGCAAAGCCAAGATACTTGACCTCTGGTCCGTCAAAGTGTTCCTCAAGTGTGTTTTGAGACGCTTTCATCCATTTTCATAGCGCTCATTCTCAACTTTCATCACAGGAAAAATAAACAGGACTTTCAGTAAGGCATACACATTAGGGAAAAATTTGTGTCAGGATTGGGTAAGTCACTTCTGTATATGTCAGCATGATGTTCCTCTGATGTGTTGAATTTGAGCTGTCCCATGACTGAGGGTACCAGAGATAAGCATTTAAGAGCTTTGAGATGCTGTTCTGAGAATATATCTTTAAGTTCCTGAATAATGTGCTCCACTGTTGGGACACTCAGGATTTCTTTATAGTAACTCTCAGAGCTTAAATGAGATTCCAGGTTACCTTGCTGAGCCCTAAAAAATTTCCCAGGGAGTTTCATTTGAATATCAAGTTTGGTTGCCAAATTTGTGGCTTCCTCAAACCAAAACTCATGATAAACTTCAATATTTTCCATCACTTCATTGAGTGAGTGTAGTATAACAGTCAAGCTACTGGCTGCAAAGAAGACATCAGAAATTTGTCCCTGGAGATTTTTCCCAAAGGCCCTTGTAAAAGATAAGACATTTTTAAGAATAACAATGGTAACAATAAAATCAAAATCTGTTACTGCACTACAGAGTACAAATGCTAGGCCAGCTATACAGTTATTCCACCTAATATTTGTGTCACTATTTATACCATCCGAACATAAAACAAGTGCTTGTAACGGGTCACTAAAACTTCAAAAGCATCATGCCTGCCTGTCCACTGAGAATGACATATTTCCTCAATTCTTTACCCCTTTCTTCACTGTTCTGGAAAAGAACAGAAATTACATTGTCAAATTCTAAAAGTAGTTGTGATGATTGATAGAAAAAAGAACAAACTTCCTCAATTATTCCCAATGCAACTGATACCCCCACCACAGGCACTGATTTTGCCAACCACATGTTTAAGGCACAGGAAGAGCAGAGTGTGTAGATAACTTGAGGATACTTCTCTAGAAGTCTAGAAGCAACAACTTTCATTTTAGAAGAAAATCCACTGGATGCAATATAAGCCTGGCCATGACAATACTCCATATTTAGTCCCCACTTCTCAGTTATTGTAGTGTGAAATTTCACAGCCAAAAATTTCTGCATCAGCTTCATAAGGCAGAAAGCCTACAAATTCCTCTCTGGGGTTATGAGATTCATCAAAAAAACTCACCAAGACAGGTAAGTGCTCTTCTCCTACTATGTCCACCACATCATCAGTGATGATGGAAAAGAAGTGTGAGTCTCTCACTTCCCTGAGGGTTTCTTCCCTAATACAGCTCTCACAGTTCTCCAGCACCTGTTTCTGCTGTGTTTTTTAACAGAACAAGGTATTAACAGCAATTGTCTCAAAACGCTTTCTCAGAACCTCTTCACCAGCTTTTACCCGGCGTTCCGACAAAGCTTGAAAGTTACCAGGCGTAAAGAGACCTTCTAGGATTTGTCAGGTGCCCATCTAGAGGTATATTTTGTTTTCCCATAAGAATCAAAATTTCAAATAGAGACTTTAAGTATTCTTTGTTTTCCTTCTCTTCAAGGGTTAAAGGTAAAATGTCTTCATCCTGCTCATCCCCCTGCACTTCAGCACTGAGATTCTGAGCATTGCTATTGTTTGTTTCTTTGTGTTTCTGTTCCTGTTCAGAAGTTTCATCAATTTTTTTTTTTCTGTTTTAGGGTCCTGATTTCATCTGCACTCAATTCTTTTATTCGTTTTCTGTGTCTACTACGTGGATTGTTCAAATGACTGGTAAGATCAAATATTGTTTGTATTGCCTTATCTCGAAGAACGTTCCTATAAGGACTCTCCCAATGACTTCACAAGTATCTGCTTCAATTAATTTTGAGAAATAACCCAATCATCCTTTAGTTTTCTGATGCCTCTGCAAAATGTATAGTTCTACAGATCATAAGAGGTCTCAAAGTGTTTGGCACACAACCGTTAATGTTTATTTAGTTCATCAGGTGTTTTATCTCCTAAGTCTCCTCTCCTACAATTCTCCACCCACTTCTGGCATCTGGCGGGATCCCGCGGAAACCTAACGAAAGCCAGGTCGGACTGTGTGCTCTTCCGCTTGCAGTTGGGGACCGCGCAGAAGTTCGGCAATCATAAGAGGTCTCAAAGTGTTTGGCACACAACCGTTAATGTTTATTTAGTTCATCAGGTGTTTTATCTCCTAAGTCTCCTCTCCTACAATTCTCCACCCACTTCTGGCATCTGGCGGGATCCCGCGGAAACCTAACGAAAGCCAGGTCGGACTGTGTGCTCTTCCGCTTGCAGTTGGGGACCGCGCAGAAGTTCGGCACCACGGTCGGGAGGATTTACCGACGCCACCACAGCTGGTGCACCTCTCGCCCGCTCGGACGCCGCCGCCTCCTTCCCACAATGCACCCTGACGCCCGGGGGTGCCCTCTCTTCCCGCAGCCTCCCTCCCTGCCTTCCTTTCCGCAGATCTCCTTTACTACTCTTAACCGGCTTTGTCCTTTCTAATTCATACTTCAGTTTCAGGGGACATGAACTGAATATATCTGACATCTAGCAGGTTGGGAACTATATTTTTCCCTATATTAGTAGCCCTTCATGGGGGCCTTTGCATTTATTTTTGTTTATAAAGTCATATTGCTAAGACCTAAAGTCTCACTTCCACTCCAAGGAGCGTGAACAGCCGAAAGGGCCTTCACGATGCTGAGTCCTATAGCCCAATC